AACTTCCTCACGTCCTGTGGTCATACCAAACAATTGCCCATTCCTCGACCGACGAGACACCGTATAGCTTAGTCTACGGTATGGACGCCGTCCTCCCAGTCGAGATTGGTCTGTCGAGTCCTCAAATCATAAACTTCATTGAAAGTACCAATGATGATGACATCCGGCTAAACCTTGACCTGCTTGAGGAACTTCGAGACGCCGTCACAATCAGAGAAGCCAAGTATAAAGAGATTCTTCGCAGACATTACAACAAGAAGGTAAAACCCGCAGATCTCACTGTGGGTGATCTCGTACTGAGGAAAAACGAGGCCAGTCGAGCAGAAACCCCTGGAAAACTCACTGCAAATTGGGAAGGGCCTTACAAGGTTATCCAGACTTCCCCAGCAGGCTGCTACCACCTACAGGCCATGGATGATAGCGGAACCATTCTTCCTCGATGGTGGAACATTCAGAATCTTCGCAGGTTCTATGTTTGAGTCTTTGTCCGCTATTTGCCCATTATGTGTTTTATTTGCTTTATTTACCAAGTCAGTTTTATACTCTCATATGTAATGCTAACCCGGGTCCTCGGGAAATTATTCAATAAAAGACATTACATATTCTTTTCATTAATAGCAATGCATTCACGACTAGTCATAGAGATGGACTCCCTCTTTAGGGCCATCCTCGCTCAAGAGCCGTGTACTCAACATCCGGACACAAACTCGAGGAACTTTCCTTACACGCATTGCAAAACGCAGTGTCAAGTCAAGGAATTCGTACCCAATTCCTTTGACAAAGCCGTGTACTCTACATCCGGCCTAAAAAGCGCTTTATAAATTAATACTCGAGTAAAATAAACATCCGTTCCACACTACTGTGTGAACTCACAGAAAAGTACATGCATTCTACACTATTACAAGCACTTCCCTGACAGGATTGTCGGGGGAGGGATGAATAATCCCCTTATGCCCATGCAGGCTAAGGAGATTCACACACTGATTCAATTTATCCTTAAGGTCCATGATCTCTGTGTCCTGAGCGTGCACCCTCATTAACAGCTCCTCTCAAGAACTCCGAGCTCGAAGATCTACAGTTTCCTCCGGACGCTCGAAAGCCTCAAAGTCGATATTGTTATCCAGCAGAAGATTTTGCAATTGGGCAATATAATCTGTAAGAAGCTCGATCTCACGAGACCTCTCTTTCAATATATCCATGGCTGCGATAAAACGGCGAGTCCTGACCATAATCATGTGCTGGACTAGGGCTAACACCTGGTGCTTCTCGAGAAACCAGGGAGACACAGTAATCTGCTGTCTGTTCCTAAGCCGAGCATTTTCCTTCTCCAAGGTCACCAGCTCATCATGGATCTCGGCCTCGAAAGTCAGAGATTCACTGTGGTCTTTCAGGCTTTGAACCTCTCGAAGCTGCATCTCCTCGCGGAGTCCTTTCTCATTTATCAGATGTGGTTAACCTTTACATTGTGCATCCTCATGGCATCGAGCAGGTCATTCTCCAAATGCGCCACCGTCTTAAGGCTGTGCACATCAGCACGACTTCTCAGAATCCCGCTAATCATAGAATATAATGGGAACTCCCTCGATTGCTCCTCTGACAACACCATGTGGTGAACGCGGTGAACGGTCCAACTTTCTTGTTTCACCAGAGGAGTATAAGGCACTTACATCAAACCAAATAGAAAGAACACAGAGGACAAAGAAATGGAAGGGAAAGAGATGTTTGCATAAATCCGTGAAAAAGAAAATTAGTTCATTACAACGAAAAGAAATGGTTTGAATGGCCTAGCAACTATTACAGAGGGCAGGATTCATAGAGCATCACTGCCTTGGAGGGGGTCATTGGAAGGGTCCTTGGAAGGGGCCTGAGAGGCGTCCTCGATGGTTCTCTGAACTCCGGAATGGCTGGTATCAGCAACGTCCTCCTCGGTTTCCTCATCGGCGTCCTCGAGCTCGATACCCATTTATTTGCCGGGTACCTCGGGTATAGGATCCTCCTCACTTGGACCCTTGGCCAGGACAGCAGGAACGTCGCCCGGAAATGAGGCAATCTCCGCAGGGGAACTCATTTTGGACATGGCACCGGTCAAAGCTGCCCACAGAGGAATCTGCTCGAGGCTCAACCTTGTCAAGACCTTCACCATGGCTTCGTGCATGGTTTGCTTTGGGTCCTTCATCAGGAGCTGCTTGAACCATTTAGCCTTAATTGGCCTATCCTGGTCGAGCCTCTTCAACCCTGCCACGCCAACTCGGTGCATACCACACTTGGTGGCAACCAAGTTCATCTCCTCGAGGGCTGCAGCCATTCCCCCTATGGACATCATTTTATACATAAAGGCGGTACACCACTGGTGAAGTTCCTCCTTGGAAATATGCAGGCTGGCAAACGACTTCATCTTCTCGTCAAGCTCATCATATTTGGCCTACACCTCGACAATTTCAGCCTCCTTGGCCTGAACTTGGCGAGCTTTCTCCTCGAGGGTAACCACCTCGAATAAAGCCTCGTCCCTTTCTACCCGAGCTGTAGCCAGGCCTTCTCAAAGTTTCCTCAGCTGCACTAAGTAGGCCATCGAGGCCGCACTCATCTGAACCAACATAGCATATCAGGAACACATTGACATCAACAGCATATTTACAACCTAATCTGAAAAATTACTTACCAGTCTCAGGCTGTCAGCTTCATTCAGCTGGACAGCAAATTCCTCGAGAATAGGACACTCGGTTGACGGCTGGTTGCTGAAGGTGTGAACTGCCACAGACGGGCCTCCCTCGAACAGTTGAAGAGGCAAGACTATGGCCTCCCCCTCGAGAGGGCCTTTCCCTTTCTCTGCCACAGGAGGAACTATGCTTGGCCCTGCTTCCGGCACAGTTTTCTGAACGGACTCGGTGACAAGGGGCACCGTCTCGATGCCCGGCTGTGCGGTTTCCTTCGAGGGTGCATCCGTCTTGGCCTTCTTGGATTTCGCCCTATCGCGCACCTTCACGATCCTTTTCTTCTTTTCCTTCTAAGGGGCGGCAGTAACAGTAACATACTCATCTGAATTCACAATGACAAAAGGATCTTCGTCACCAAACAATCGAGACCCAACATTGCTTGACGACATGACCTAACAACAAAGAAAAAAAAGAAGAAAACGATTAGTACCTTGATCTTCTTCAACAGAGATTTCGAGGGGAATTCTGGTTGCTCCCTCGACGATGACTGTATCACCTTCCTTCGCATATGCATGGGGCACATAGTATTAAACGTCGTTCCACTTAACGACCTTCGAATATTTTAGAATTTTCTCCACATCTGCCTGGAACTCCTCGACAGACTCTTCATCCTCTTGGGTCCATTCATCTTTTATGGCCCCGAGACCGTCTGTCTCTCGGAGATTCCATGGCAGACAATAACTCGCAGGCGCCTTTACAAACACAAAGTCCGGTTTCCATTCTGGAGAACTGCCACACGCCTCGACCATCTACTTCACGCTAGTTCTAAGGCGTCTTTTTACTATATACCAATCCTGGAAAGAAGTCGAGGCCACAACTACTTGGAAAAAATACCTCCACAATATCAATCGAAGTACTACTTTTACATGTTGGCACACTCTCGCAAACCCCAGTACAAATGTAATTAAATTTGGGGTAAAACGAGCGAGAGGAGTCCTATAGTGTTGAACAATATCTTCAAATAGGGGGTAGAGGGGAAATCTAAGCCCTAGATGCATAAATCGATCATACACAATAATTCTTCCCCTTGGAGGAGAGTTAGCCCTCTCGTTTCCTAATGGAGCTCTCGCCTCTAGGGCTGAGGGGAAGTCATACTTGGATCTAAGATTCTCCACCTTATCCACCGAATCTATGGTGGATACAAAGTCCAAAACGGTTTTTTCCTTCGGAATCCCTAACCATAATTCCGGCGAGGATCTACTTTGGCTACAACAGAAAAGGAAATAGAACAAATCGGAGATTCAGATCTAGAAACTTACTATGTAAGGGGGACGTGACCACTCGCTTTTCGAATTATAACTCCCTAGTGTTGTTCAGAAGCTTCAATTTGCAACTCCCCTGGAAACAACGTCGCCGGGGCAGTATATCAAGTGAAATCTTAAAAATTCTGGCCGGGAAAAGAATTAGGATGCTCTGGTAAAGAAGAGCAGAATGGGGGCTGGAATACTTTCGCAAAGGAGAGAATTTTGTGTTTTGCAAAGAAGGAAAGTGATTAAGTGTCCAGGATGGTAGAGCTTTTTAAAAACAAAGTTGATTCTCCCACGTTTCCCTAATTATGGACCACGATTTGGCAGTTATTGCGGGTTTCAAGGAGGTAATGATGTTGAGGCTGCTGTTTGGGGAACGTGCCCACTAATAACGCACAATTGAATATTTGGGTGGGATTGGGAAGCGGGTCGTCTTCCCGGGTCAAGACCTGACCTACCAATTCCTCTCGATCCTCCGAGATCGAGGGTCATGTGTTAGCATCGAGCTCGTTGGGCATGTGCCTCAACAATTAGCTGAACGAGAGTAGTCTGTCCATTCTCGGGAATGTCCCAGGTAATGATTATTTTGTGCCAAGCGTTGTTTGTTTTTATGTCACTAACACTTGGCAGGGGCACTCGACGAGTCCGTATCCATCACCGAGACTGGACTGGCCCACCAACCAAAGGAAGAGTCCAACCGGAACTCTTAGGGCGGTGTAAATTCCTGAAACCTAGTTGGATTCGGGAATTGCCCAGGTAACCTCATACCTACAAATAGGGTAGCTCATACCACAATTCAGCTACGCAATCTATAGCCGAACAAATTACCTTCCCAAACTTTCGGATAACCCTTTTTACTGACTTAAGCATCAGAGTGTCTACCCTCGGGAGACCCCGAGACCCTGTTTTGCAAGAAACCCTAACAGGAGTTCCACCGCTAAACCGACGGCACATGTCCAAGCATCGTTAGCGACGATGACAGTAATATCATCAGGTACGAATGTGTAGTCGGATGGATTTCTTCCTGCCTTCCACAATTTCATCCAATACATATGTGCAGATATATTGGAAACATTAGTGAGGTGGCATTATGTTTCGGGTCCGGTGTCGTCATGTTGTTATTCTTTTGGCAAGCAAGAAAGATCAGATCTACAAACCCGTCAACCGGCACATTATCAAATAGCCCTTCCGTTCCCGCCACGATCAAGCTGCCGTCTTCCACCTCAAGGCAGATCTCCTCCGCCTTCTCCGTCCCGTCGTACCCTTTCCTCTTCCCCAGCAGGTACGGTCGGTTCTTGTCGTATGGTTGCGCCGGCGATTGGTAGATGACTTTTTTGCCGCAGATCAGAATAAACCCGTTGTCCCCGATGTTCACCGCCCGCAGCGATTTCCCATGCAGCGTTACCACACAGGCGGTGGATCCACCCTTGGCTTGGGTTTTCTGGAAAGCAGAGTCCAGAAGGGATTTTGGGTCAACCGGGTTATTATTGCTCCCGATTTGTTGGACAGAGTCCACCACCCGACCAATTAATTCTCTTGAATACTTACCCGAGTCGATACCTCTCCACCGCCCGTACCCGTCGGCCAACCCGAACGTCTGAAATTCCACCGAACGTCGCCGTTGCCATCGCCGTCTTCCTACGTGCCAACGGTCTCCCCATCTTTTTTTTTATGCTAAACAGAGAATTTTACAATTCTATAAAGCAGAGTAAAGTAAGTTTTCAGCCAAGGCGATCAAAAGGAGCTAGTTTAAAAAGTTTTGGGGCTTCATTAACTTGGAGTCTTGGATGATGGTGGTTCTATATATAAGGGAAAAATTAGCAGTTTCTGATTCCTAATTCGATTGGGCTTCTAACAAAGGCAAATCTCGATGGTGTCGAGTTAACGGTCAACTAGAACGGGGACCTGCAATACAAAGGTTAACATTCCGATTCTAAAGTTAGTCTAGTGAGAAAAATAAAATAAATACACACTTAGAGAGAGTGTAAGAAGTGTGAATTAACTCCCAAAAATGAATGTCTTGTGCTATATATAGTTCACTATTTAGGAAGTGGCCAAAAGTCGGACCCATGTAAGACTCACAGGAAAGCTTCTGTGCATTTGGGCCGCTGGGCCCATTCCTTTAAAAGCTCAAGAGAGTTTCTAAATGGGCTGTATTAGAAAATTACTTCATCAAGAGCCCCTGTTGAGCCCAAAAGAGCCATGTGATATTGGGCTTAACATCACAATAAGAAGCTCACTCCTGGAAAGCCCATTTTCAAACTAGGGCTTTTACCATTTACCCTAATTTTTACCCAGCGGGAAAATGAAAGGCCCTGGGTAAGGATGAACTGATTAGATTGCATCGATTCACGAACCGTCGTAATGATGGTTTCTTGATCGAGGCGACCTTTGCCCTTCCCAGAGGTACTATATAAAGGAGGAGATAGAATCATTTGCACTCTTCCCACCTTTGCTCCTGCTTTCTTTTCTCTACTTAGCAATAAACTCTATTTCTTTCGGCGTACAATTCCGCCGAACCTCTTTTCAGCGATTTTCTTGGTCGAGGTCAAAGGTACTTATTTTCTTTTCGTTCTCTTGCTTTTCACCTTTATAGCTTAGCATGGATAACGAAGTCAGAGTTGGGGATGTTCCAAGTCGTCTTCAAGACGCTGATTTAGAGGTGTTGGAGATGAAGTACAGCTTGACCGCATTAGAGCCGACATTGCCCGAGGGTAACTAGAGGGCGGATGCTCCACCTCAGGGGAAGATGACCAATTTACGCTAAGTTTCTCGAGTATGGCCTTCACCTACCCATCCTCCCCTTGTGTTATCAGATCCTTCGGGCTTATCAACTACCTCTGGCCCAGATGACTCCCAACTTCATTACGGCGGTGTTGGCGTTAGTGTTCGTCTGTCGAAAGGTCGGGGTCATCCCCGACTTGTTTTTGTTTATGTGTTTTTATAAGCTTGTTCGAGGGGCTAAGGGTTTCTCGAGTTGGTATAGTATTACTCGAAACCCTAAGGGTCCAAAGAAAGAGCTGGTGTCGAGGAGTGAGACGTCCAAACCTTGGAAGGCGGCTTATAAGTCATGGAGGTTCGAATATTTGTATGTGAATTCATCCTTTCCTGACCTACCGTCCTGGAACAACAAACTCGAATTTGAAAAGGTCCTCGACCCTTGGTCCGAAAACGATAAGGCGGAGAAGCTAAGGCAGAAGCCAGATTTAGACAAGTTGGAGGTGTGGACGGAATCCTAGAACTACCTTTTTATTGCCTATATTAGTAATACGATAGTTAATTCGAACAGTGGTATGGTCTTCAACTCATCGAATCTAACTGCTTTTTCCTTTGCATTTTACTTTTAGGTAAATTTTTACTGATGGGGAGAAGGTCCGCTTTGGGTATTATAGACGAGCAGGAGGAAGAGGCCCTGTCTCAATAGCCTAAACAGACCTCTGTGTCGAAACAACCTCCTCCTCCAGTCGGAGGGAAGAAATCAGATGAGGGAAGGAAGCCAGACGAGGGGAAAGTTGGACTCGTCCTCAAATCCCGAGAAGCGTGAGGTTCCGGGCTCTCAAAACAAATTCCTCTCTTCTATCCTAAACAAACGTTTGTCCTTGTCCCAAGGGGGGGGGGGGGCACACTGAGAAGAGAGTGAAGTTCACCCCACAGACCGCCCCGATTGACTCGGTGGTCGGTGATAGGAAGGGTCTTACACCCGACGAACTGTTGAAGGAGATGTATACTGACAAGGGTCTCCTCACTCGTCCTGCCAAGGCATCACTGGTGCCTCTGGGTCATGCGTTCGTAAAATTTAACCCCCCGAAGGTGATGGGGCCAGAGATTCAAGTCCAAGATGACCCCCAGATCGCCGACTGCATGGTGCAGGTGAGTTTATTTTATCTTCTTTTTACATGGTTTGATTTTTCTTAACCCACGTGCCATTTCAGTCTCTCCTGGCCGTGGCTGCATTCTGCTAACTTGCTAGGAATTTGGATAGTTTAGTGACGACGAATGAGCAGGCCATGGCCGAGAGAGTTGGGGAGCTTGAGAAGGCGAAGGCGGAGATAGAGCGGCTGAAGGAGGAAAGTTCGAACTGGAAGAAACAAGCTCATTCAGTGAAGAAGAAGCTAGGCGACCAGTTGAAGGCCTACAATGAAGCATTGGCCAAAGTCAAGGAGACAGTGACAGCCAAGCTAAAAGAATTGGCGAGGGCTCAGTTAGAAGAGTCGATGTTCCTGAAGTCGGACCTCCACCAATATATCCTAGCCGCATTGAGGGTTTATCTCGATTCGCAGGCATTTGCTAGAGGGGTCGACCAGATCATGACTCCGGTCATTGAGATGAGAATGAGGGACCATGCAAAGATGATCGGAGATGTCCTGCACGTAAGGGGGAAAATTGTGCCCTCGTGGACAAGTATTCAGACGAAGCCATGGATGGGGCGACCTCATAGATCCGCCTTTGTCGTAAGGCCAGGAAATTCTTCAGGGACGTGGATTTAGGTAGCATGAAATTCTTCAAGGAGATATGCAGGATTTGTTCGACCATTACTTCTCCCGAAGATCTTCTTCAGATAGCTTAGCCGCCTTTCTTCCTGTACAAGTTGCCAGACGATGTTGGGTCCCCTATCTCAACTCCCCTCGGTCCGGATGAGGAGGCTGAGTTGATGGCTCAACAGAGGAGGGAGTCCTTAGAGAGAGACCTACCGTCAGGAGTTGCAAGTAGGTCGACTCCGTTAGGGACTAACAACTCAGATTTCAGCAATGAAGACTTCGCCAAGGACGAGATGAACAATTCATAGTTTTTAGGGATTCTGTACTTTGGAGTTTAGGTCGATGCGTACAAGCATCTCAGTCTATCTGATTCCTTTGTACTTTGAAGATTTTTATGAAAGTTTTTCTTCTTCATTATTCGACCACCTGTATCCTATCATTTAATGTAATGAGTATTTATGTAGGTAGTTTTAGTAAGTATAGTCAATGCCAGAGTAAGCCCCAAGAGGTCGCCTAAAAACTTCATGTGGCAGGGTAGACTATGGCAACCCACATATAAACTTAACGCTTCCCAACCCTAACTTCGACCCCGACGCGTGCCCTTATTATTCGATAATAAGTAGGGCTTTAATTGAGTTTTCCGTTAGAGGGGAGAATCAAATGTCGAATCTGGAAGCTAGTGTTCGGATAGTATCAAGTCCATTCAAAATGCAGAATTAGAAGCCCTTAGGGCGACCATAGTTGACCTAAAGAAGGAGGTGGCTAATTTACGTTAGACAAACGTGGACCAGGACCAAGAAAAGTATTGGAAAGACCATGTGAAAAATTTTGTGAAGATGGACACAGAAAGAAATCAAAGGTTAAGGATGGTCGAAGCAAGGCTACGCAAGAAGAAGAGGGGTGAGGGTCTTATTAATCCCGACCTCGAAGACTTCATCCCCCGAAATTATTAGGAGAGTGTATTAACTCATCTTCGGAGGGCGTATGCTCTTGTCACCATCAAATGGGATAGATTGACCGAGAAGGTCACACGCCTTCGACCGCACGTGGAAAGCTTGAAGTCGGCCCTTCAACATTTCGTGTCCCGGATCATGGAATTGGGAGGCGAATTCGACCCAGAAACATAGTGGCCAGATGAATATGACGTCCTACAAGACACACCTCAGTCTCCAACTAGGGAAGCCGAAAGGCAAATTTATGAAAACGATGCTTTATTTCATGAGTTAGGTCGAACTAGCTAAGTTTGTATAGGGTAGGGGAGACGAGGTTGCAATATTGTTGTATAGAGGTTTGAGATCTCATGAGAATCCGACCGTAAAGAGTTTTTGTAAATTTTGCAATGAAAACCCGAGCCTCCAAGTGTTTATAACCAAGTTTGACATTCTATATTTTATGTTATTTTAACCAAGTGTAAGGCAATAATGTGAGAATATTGTGAGGAATATATTTTGGGATGAGTGTACGAACCTTTTGTAAGTTCGAGTCACTCACGCTCCTTCCCCCGAGCGTCTTGTTATTGTCGATTTAACACTTGTATTTTATTTATACGTTCGCGGAGTCAGGCATCACCGATGGATGGAGTCATCGACTGCTAGCGGAGTTAGAAGACCTTAGAAAAATCCATGGCGGAGCTTAAGGGTGAGTCATCGACCGCCAGTGGGGTCGGACAACTTAAAAAGAAGCCCCAGACTCGCCTGTTTGACTTGGTCGTCGACCGCCAGAGGGATCGGACGACTTAAAAACAAGTCCCGGACTCGCTTGTCAGACTTGGTCGTCGACCACCAACGGGGTTGGACGACTTTAGAAAAATCCATGGCAGCGCCTAAGGGTGAATCGTCGAGCGCCAGCGAGGTCGGACGACTTAAAAAGAAGCCCTGGACTCGCCTGTCGGACTTGGTCGTCGACCGTCAGCGGGGTCGGACGGCTTTAGAAAAATCTATGGCGGAGCCTTAGGGTGAGTCGCTAACTGCCAGCGGGGTCAGACGACTTAAAAAGAAGTCCCGGATTCGCCTGTCGGACTTGGTCGTTGACCGTCAGTGCGGTCGGACGGCTTTAGAAAAATCTATGGCGTAGCCTTCGGGTGAGTCGTTAACCGCCAGCGAGGTCAGACAATTTGAGAAAAATCCATTGAGTGTCTAAGGGTGAGTCGTTGAGCGCCAGCGGAATCGAACGACTTAAAAAGAAGTCCGGACTCGCCTATCGGACTTGGTCATCGACCGCCAGCGGGGTCGGACGACTTTAAAAAAATTCATGGTGGAGCTTTAGGGTGAGTCGTTGACTGCCAATGGGGTTGGATGACTTAAAAAGAAGCCCCGGACTCGCCTTTCGGACATGGTTGCTGACCGCCAGCGGGGTCGGACGACTTAAAAATTGAAGCGCCAAGATTCGGGAAAAAGCGAATATATTATCAAACAAATCATATTTCAAGGAGTACAAGAGGTGAGGCCTTCCCTATACTATGCCGCCAAAAAGATTACAAAATGGTGTTCCTTCGGACGAGGCTACACATGGAACTTTTTCAGGTTCTGGATGTTACACCATCGAGGAAGGATGACGGGGTCATCATGACAAGTCTGTAGTCGATAGCTTCTAGAGGGTGAAACTTTCACAACCTTATAAGTGTCACAGGCTTATTTTTTCAAAGTAACGGCCGTGCGGCACTAGCACTAAAACAAGAAATGAAGAACGTGCTAGCTCAGCCTTGACCCCTTTAACGTGCAAAGCTATGCAAGAGAACTTAAGAATTAGGCAAATGAAAGCTTAAGAAAGTTTGGAAATGAAAGAACAATGTAGGCACAAGAGAGCTTAAAGAATGCTTTGAGAACTTTTCTCAAGGTCTAGATGCATTACAAATGAGGGGCCTTGGGGTATTTATAGGCTAAGTCCCCAATTCCAAAGAATTCTAGAGAATTCTATACAAAGAATAAAATAGTAGGTATCTAGAGAATTCTAGGACTAAAATATTCTAAGTGCGGAATTCCATAGAATTCTATAAATCCCTAGAAAGCTCTATCCCATTCCAGACCATTCCAGCAAAACTCGGGAAGCTTCTCCACGTTTCAAGCAAAGTCCGGTCCCTTCTAGAGAATTCCAAGTCCATGTGGAATTGACCCGAATTTTCCAGCATTCTCTAGAACGTCCCATCCCATGTCCCGGCTAAGGAAACGGCCCTGATAACCCGAAAACCCCACAAAACGTGGGAAAGGATGGCCTTGTCTGAGAATGGTGAACGGCCGTGACATAATGGCACTCCCAATTCAGACACAACTTTCCAGCCGGCGAGGCATGGCTTACGTCATTTCTGCGGAGGACAAGGTCACAATAAGGACCCGACTCCGAACTCGAGTATTGTAATACTTCATTTGCTGCTGTTTGTACCGAGCTTCTCTCACTTTGGCACAGTCTCTCCTTTTATCCAAGAAGTCCAAGCAGATGCAGGTCAAGTCCTCATTCTCCTCTTCCACGAAATTGACTAGACAAGGCCTCAGAACTTTGATCTCAGCCAGAATGAATGCTTCCATTCCATAGACCAAGGAAAAGGGGGTAGCACCAGTGGCAGTTTGCATGGTTGTCCTGATACCCCGAAACTTCTTCTAGCCATCTGCCCCCGGCTTTATGCAACCGGGTCCGGATACCCCGTAAAATGGCCCTGTTGATGTTTTCACCTAAGCCATTGACCTAAGGGTGCACTACAGTAGCAAACCTCCTTTCTATATTCATCTCTTCACACCACCTCCGGAAGGTCCCTGATTCGAACTGCGTCCCATTGTCAGAGATGAGTACCTTCGGGATCCTGAACCGATAGATTATGTTCTTCCAAAAGAAATGGGATACAGCTTCACCCGAGATTGAAGCCAGTGGTTTAGCCTCGACCCACTTGGAGAAATAGTCGATGGCAACAATGAGATGACATAATTTTCCTGGCGCCATAGTGAAAGGCCTGAGGATGTCAACACCCCACTTGTAAAAAGGCCACGAACTATCGATGGGAACCATCTCATGCTGAGGGAGTCGAGGTATTGGAGAATGCTTCTGACATTGAACGCATTTGAGGACGAGTTCGTAGAAGTCTCTAGCCATGGTCGGCCAATAATATCCAGTCCTGAGAAGCTTTTTAGCTAAGCTTCAAGCTCCCAGATGTGCTCCACAAGCTCCTTCGTGCATGCTCCGAATCAGAAGGTTGGCTTCGTCTGGAGGGACACATCTGTAAACGGAGGTCAAGTATCTGTGTCTGTAAAGGATAGCATCCCTCAGTAAGTAGTTTGGTGCCTTCAGCCTCACCTTCCGGGCCTCTTTGGGGTCGGGGGCATAACTCCATCTCTCAGGTACCGAATATAGGGCATCATCCAAGTCTCACCTTCTTCTTCCACTATTGCCATGACTCCACTGTCCTCGACGCTAGATCAGGGGAGGGTTTCCACCAAGACACGCTAGGTTAAGTGAGCAAAGCCGGACGATGCTAGTTTACTGAAGGCATCAGCCTTTTTGTTTTGTGACCTCCGAATATACTGGATTTTGAACCGATTAAACCTTCCACTCAACCTCCGAACTTCATCCAGGTACTTTTGCAAAAAGGCTTCACGAGCTTCATTCAATTCCAACACATGGTTGACGACGACCAATGAGTTGCTATAAACAAAACTGATTTGACTTTCATCTCGAGGGCAAGTTTCAGCCCAGCTATGAGAGCTTCATACTCAGCTTCGTTGTTGGTAGGGAACTCCAGTCGGAGAGCATAAGTGATCTCGGTCCCATAGGGGTCGACCAGAATACGACCATCCCCCAAACCAGAAATTGCGGATGATCCGTCAATATACAACTGCTACACGTAGTCTGCGGGTGGTTCTTATCTCAACTCCTGGATTTCATGGTCGACCTCCGGGGGCTCAGCTTCTCCTCGGGGAACCTCAACAAGGAAATCGGCATGTGCCTTGATGGCCGTCCGAGGTTCGAACTTGATGTCGTGTTCTCCTAGCTCGATTGCCCATTTAGTCATCCTTAACACCTGC